CGTCATATAGAGTGGGGCTTCCATTGTGTTCTCTCTTGGGTCACTACTATGGGGGACAAGCCAGCTGCTGTGTTCTGAGGACACTCCAGCAGCCCTATATAGAAGTCCATGATGCAGGGAACAAGAGCCTCCTGTCGTCAGTCTGCCCCCACTCGCTAGCCATCTCTGAGCCACCTGGGGAACAGATAACCCAGCCCCAGTCAAGTCTGTCAGTGGTGGCAGCCCTAGCCAACATGTTGTTTAGAACCCATGAAAGATCCCAAATAAACCATTCAGTACAGATACTTGATCAATAATGGGGATATATTTTGAGAAACGTGTTTGAGGCGTTTGCATTGTGAACTACATTGTTCTCATTACACAGTCCTAGCTGGTTACAGCCTACTACACACCTACGCTATATGCTGCAGCCTAGTCCTCCTTATGGGACCCCTGTCAAATGTGGTCCATGGTCACCAAAACATTGTCATGGATCACATGACTGTATTTATTGCTTTAGGTCAGTAAATTTTGACATCTTTTTTTGCAGCAGTAGATAACTAATGCACCTGCTAAATAGACACACTTAAAAACATCCCATGGATCACATAGTTTATAGTTATTCGTAGGTGTAGAAATTGCAGGGGTTTCTATTGTGGTTTATATTCATTTTTGTAGGAGACTGGGTAGTGTGTGTTACCCAAGGCATTGGCTTTTAATTTTAGCTTCTCTAAACTTACCCACTCTGTATCTTGAGACTTACGTAACATTTCTGATCATCAGTTTTTACAGAAAAGGTGTAAAATGAGATCATTATACTTAATTTTATTTAGTTTTTGTTGGTCAAGAAAAAGTGAGATTATCTGGTGTTAAGTCTGTAGAATGATGCTTGATATGTTCCTTGCTTTCCATTTACCCACAAGTGATCCCCTTCCATGTGAAGATAGTCTCTGCTCCAGGGCAGGGATCGTGGTAAGCGTCTCAGTTTGCAGTCTGTGGCTGGCGTGTCCTTCAGCCTTCCAGTCTTAGACAGCAGGCACTTCCTACTCTAACAGAGCCATTTTTCTTTGACCCCACACTTTTGTTTTTTAATATGACGCACCTTAGGTGATTTTTTTTTTTTTTCCGTATTTATTCTGCTCATGGTTGCAGAGATTCTTGTATTTGAGGATTGAAGTCTTACCAGTTTGGGAAAATTTTAGTTGTTTACTCTTTAGAAGTGTCACTTTCTATTTTTCCTTATCTTTACCTCTGAGACTAATTAAAAGAATTTTAGACATTTCACTGTGTCACACATGTCCACATATTCCACATATATTCCGTCTAATTTTCTTTTCTGGGCTTCCTGGTGAATTTCATTATTATTATTATTATTATTATTATTATTAATTTTTTTAAGAATTATTTATTTTATTATTTTTATTCCACATGAGAGAGAGGAAGCTGCCAGGTCCAGGACTCGGGCCACAGTCGGCCATGTGGGGACTTCCAGCGCCTTAACCACCACACCACCTTCTGTCCCCTATTTTTTTTAATCAGTTTTTGATTTCACTAAACTTGTCTTCACCTTTGCTACTTTTCTATTAAATCCTACCTATTGATTTCTTCATTTAGTAACATTTTTTCCTCCTAAAATTTCCATTTGATTCTTTATTACAGGTTAGTCTTATGTTGGAAATTTTGACTTTTGACATGTTCTTCAGATTTTTCATCTTTTCCTTGGGGTGTTTTTGACATGGTTATTTTAAAGCTAACTCTTGTTTCTAGATGGCATACGTGAGCACTTTATTGCATCCTCAGGGTTGTAGGTGAGGAGCTGTAGAGGCCTCAGTAGTTGTCTCTCAGCAGAGAAGTCACCCGTTCCTTCACTGGACAACTGTAACAGGCTGGTGGCTAAGTCCCTTGCTTCGTCGGAGATTGAACAGTCAAAGCTCTATCAAAGTTTTGGTATATTTTCACACCTTCTAGGGACCAGGTCTAAAGGAGCCTGTGGGATTCACCAGGACTCGATTTCCTGAGGCTCCTGAACCCTAGTTCTTAGGTTCTCAGTACATCACGAGAGCTGGTTTGCATTTTAGAGGCTTTGTATTTGGCTTTTTAGCTTCATATCTGATCATTGTCTTCTGGGGAGAAGTGGCTGTGCAACAAGCACACATCCTGTTCTGCTGGGAGTCTGGCCCTTCAGATCTCTACTTTTGTCACTTCATACCCACAAGTACTAGGTTTGCTG